AGAGCATATTCAGCACGGCCGTGTCATTTTTAGCACGGCCGTGCCAGGAAGCTGCACGGCCGTGCCATATATAGCACGGCCGTGCCAATTTTAAGAAGAAACCCGGTTTACTTACTGACAAGCTAGCACGGCCGTGCCAAATACAGCACGGCCGTGCTGATCCAGGGTTAACTGTGCGCTTGACTTCTCCGAATTAGAAGACGTATATAAGGCCCGACTTTAAGAGGATTAAATGACAGTTTTTAGAGATAGTTTTGAGAGCCTTTGTAGAGAGTTATTGGAGAACGTTCTTAGTATTAGAGATTCATTAGTTTTCTTAGAGAATTTCCTAGAGATTTTAGTTTTCTTGGATTGATTTGAAGCAAGATTTGCGAAGGTTCTTTGTATTATTCATTGACGACGGATATCAAAGTTCTGAACTTTTCCATTGATTCGCATCAATACAATTGGTATTATTCATTCTTGTTTATTAATCAAGCTTTATTATTCCTTAATCAGAATTCATGTTTATATCTATTATGCTTTTGGAATTCATTATTGCTTTGATTATGAATATGTGTGAGTAGTCTCCTAGCTAGGGTTTCGGGATGAAACCCGGCCTAGGTAATCTATGTAATTGAGGATTGATTTTGATAAACGGATTGTGATTAAATTGATTATATGCGATTGCATGTTAATTCATTATAATAGGAGTAGCTAACCTAGAATCTTGAATTTGATTGCATGATATTCTTGATTTGAACAAGAGATTGTGAATTGAGTATTTCATTATTGAATGTGGTTTGATTATGTATCGAGTAATGTTAAGTGCATGAGAAATCCAAGCTTAGTATTGCCCGCTGTCTTCCTATCACATGATATTGATCAGACTTATAGTCTTTGCATATCCCGTTTGTCTCTGTGATTCCTTGTTGCTTAGTTACCAATGGTTAGGCGGATTCCCGTTCTCCCTAGTGTCTTAGTTTATTGATTTATTCCATCTTATTAGTAGTATTTTAGAACACCATTTTCCATTGATTTCGAACTAGCTTAGGTTTAAGATTGATTTGCAATTACTCTCGTTCCTCGTGGACCGAACCTTTATTTGCCATTGTACTTGGTTATAAGGTGTTCGTATAAGTATTGTTTGATTGAGAGTTAGATTGTAGCGACCGATTTAACCCTTGTCAAGGAACAACTTAAGAAGAAAAGTAGCAGCAAACATCAGCAAAAACAGCAGCAAACAACAACAAAATCAGCAGCAAACAGCAGCAAAATCAGCAACGAACAGCAGGAAAAACAGCCCACCAGCATTCTTTAATCAAGGTAGAAGCTTAGTCGTCTAAAACCTCAACTGTTTCAGGCTCATCAATGGATATCTTGCACAAATCTTGATATTGAGAGAAAAAATAAAGAACAAATAATAATTAGAATTAAAATCAATAACAATATTAATACATAATTAAAACAAGAAAATAAAAAGATTTAGCAATCACCTTCTTCAAGTTGCTCAACTTCCTCCAAACATCAACATTACTTTCAGCATTATTAGCTTCAACATTATTAGCTTCAACCCCCCCTTTGCGTGAGACTCGTGACATACTGCAACTCTGCAAGTATAATTACGAATAAATTAAAAAAATTTAGTTGAAATTCAACAAAAAAAATAATAAAAAAAAAACAATAGAAGAAGGGTAGCAAATTACCTTAAGTGGTTTAGGATTGTGAGATCAGAATAAGGAATGATTTGATTTAAATTTTCATGAGATGAATAGATGATGAAGAAAGAGCGCTTGATAAGTTGAGGGAATGAGGGAGTCAGGAGGCGTTGAGGTCTTGAGGAGTAATGAAGACTAAAAGAGGCAAATTTAGGGTTTTTAGTTATATAGTCTGTATTTGGGCTAAATTTTAAAGGCCCAATTATAAACTACAGCAGACCATTCTATAAATGTTGGTAACTAAATTTCGGTGTTCGGTTTTAATTGGATCCGAATAGGGTCAATCCGATCCGATCCGAAAATCCGAATTTTCAAAAAATCTCAATCCGATCCGATCCGATTTAAAGTTCGGATCCGATCTGAATTGATAATTCGGTTTGGATTGGATTGGATTTCGGTTTTTATCCGAATTATGGACACCCCTATTTATGACAACATATAATGGTCATATATGGTTCCAAATGGCTTTATATGACCTTGTGATTTATCTTCTAGGGTCTAAAGACTTTTCGCCACCGGGCCCTATAAGCCTTCAATTTTGGAACTTTTAGACCTTTTTTCGCCTGGAAATAAAAAATGGCGAGATGTTTACTATGGTCCCGAATATCCTCCGGGAGTCCATTGGGGTGGTTGAAACCAACCAATTTGCCTTAAATCGGTCAAGTTACACATTCACAACTTGCACTGATTTCGTGAACTCAAGCCTACCACGGACATTTATGACAAGATATAATGGTCATACATGGTTTCAAACGACTTTATATGACCCTGATATGTATCGCGTAGGGTCACAAGAGTTTTCGCCACCGGGCCCCGTAACCTCCAAAATTCCACAAAAAACGTGGATAATAGGATTAATAGCCTTCAATTTTAGAATTTTTGGTTCTTATTTCGCCAAGAATTAAAAATTGTCGAGATGTATACCATGGTCCCTAATACCTTCCGGGAGTCCAATTAGGTGGGTGGAACCATCTAATTTTCCTTAAAACGGTAAAGTTACCCATTCGCATTTTCCACCGATTTTATGAACTCAAGCCTTCCACGGACATTTATGACAACATAAAATGGTCATATATGGTCCAAACGATATTATATGACCTCGAGATGTATCCCCAAAGGTCTCCAGAGTTTTCGCCACCGTGCCACGTAACCTCCAAAATTACTAAAAAAACGTGGATTAATAATAACCTTTAATTTTGGAATTTTTTGAACTTTTTTCGCCCGGAAATAAAAATTGTCGAGATGTATACCATGGTCCCTAATACTCTTTGGGAGTCCAATTGGGTGGGTGGAAACATCTAATTTTCCTTAAAACGATCAAGTTACGTATTCGCAACTTGCACCGATTTCGTGAACTCAAGCCTACCACGGATATTTATGAAAACATATAATGGTCATATATGGTTCCAAATGGCATTATATGACCTTGAGATGTATCCTCTAGGGTCTCAAGTCTTTTCGCTATCGGGCCCCGTAACCTCCAAAATTCTTCAGAAAGAGGGGATAATATTATTTCAATTTCGGAATTTTTGGACCTTTTTTCGCCTTGAAATAAAAATTACCGAGATTTATACCATTGTCCCTAACACCCTCCGGATTTCCTATTGGGTGCCTGGAACCATCCAATTTTCCAAGTTACCCATTCGCAACTTGCACCGATTTCGTGAACTCAAGCCTATCACGCACATTTATGACAACATATAATGGTCATGTATGGTTCCAAACGGCATTATATGACCCTGAGATGTATCCCCTAGGTTCTCAAGATTTTTCGCCTCCGGGCCTCGTAACCTCATTAATTTCTTAAAAAGCGTGGATAATAGCCTTCAATTTTTGAATTTTTTTACCTTTTTCGTCCGGAAATAAAATTTTCCGAGATGTTTACCTGGGTCCTTAATACCCTCTGGGTGTCCTATTGGGTTGGTGGAACCATCTAATTTTCCTTAAAACAGTTAATTTACATGTTTTCGTACACGCCTCTTGTGTTGGCTATAAGCTTTCACGGGGCCTGTATGTAGCCGAATAATAGTCATATATGGGTCGAAACATTATTGTATGACCCCGGGATGGATCACGTAATGTTTGGTGAAATTCCGACACCGGGTCCTGACACCTCCTAAATCGCTCCGATTTCGTGTATTATAGCCTTCAGATTTGGCTTCCGTATATTATTTTTTCACCCGGCGAGATTATGCATCCAAGTATTTCCATGGGTTCCAAAAGGGCCTTCGGAGTCGTAAATAGTGCCCGGAACCATTGCATCCTTAATCATCATGCCTTACGGGCCTTGGGAGTCGTAAATAGTGTCAAGAACTAACCTGGTACGCCTTGTCCTTGGGTGCACATGTCTTGTGCACATGCCACACGACCCCTTGTACCATCCAACATCCCAACACTTAGGCTTTGTGACTTGTCTTAATCCCGTACTCAACATTTTTGCATATGAGATGCATCGCTAACCTCGTTTTCCATAATGTAGGTGTTTAGCCTGAGATCCCAGTAGATGATCCAAGAATCCAACAGTGCAGTCAAATTGGGATCTGATGTTGCGTGTTTCAAAGAGGGATCAACTGGGCTGGGAGGGGTAGTGCAGGACTCGATTGGGGATGTCATGGCTTTAACGGTTTGGAATGTTCAAGGGAGTTATGATGCGGATGCTGGTGAGGCAATGGCAGCTCGACATGGCCTTTCTATCGCAATTGATGCTGGGCTTTGAAAGATTATTCTCGAGACTGACTTGCTGAAATTACACCACCATTTGAACAACAATATTTTTGAGAATTCTCCCTTTGGTCTGATTGTAAAAGACATCTTATGTCTTGCCAAATCTTGCTCCTTTGTTTCCTTTACTCATGTTGGGAGGGAGGGGAAAAGGGTGGCTCACAATCTTGCTCATTTAAGCAAAGATTTTGATGTAATGTGTGTGTGGTTAGAAGAGCTCCCTGTGAGTAGCATGCCTGCTGTAATTTCTGATGCTCAAAGCATGAGTTAATAAATTTCTGATGCTCAAAGCATGAGTTAATGAATTCTGCTGTAACCATGTATCTCATTCATTGTGTTCCTTTACCAGCATCTTCCTTGATTCTCGCTTACTCCAACATAAGCCACATATTCAAAGATTGCTTGAACTCAAAGTTTCCCCTTTTATCCTGAACTTAGCAATTTTTCTACAAATGATGAATAATATGAATGAATAAATGAATGCAACTGACTTATTCAAAATTACACAAGAAATTTAAAGGAGCACCTGTTGTAGGCTAGCTTCATACAACGTAAAAATACACTATACATGAACCTCATTTCTAAGCCTTGCTAGTGGAGGCAAAAATACACTACGCGTACATACTAACATTGATACATTATCTCGCTATGAACATAGATACATTTCGGAAAATTTTCTTAAAAAGAAACTTCCTGGAGTACTGAGCCTCGTTTATAAACCTTGCAACTAGAGGCAAAATATATACTGCGCGTACATACATTACACACATTATCACACTATGAATATAGCTATTTGTCACTGGGAAGTTTTCTTAATTAGAACTTTCTGAAGTACTGAACCACGTTTATCCTTGCAAGTAGAGACAAAAATATACTACATATACATAATATACATACAAAATGCACATTATATTACACTATGAACATTTCTACATTTGTTATTAGGAAGTTTTCCTACTAAGAACTTCCTCGAGTACTGAAGGGAGACAAGTTAGAGTTTTCTCTGCCTGACCTTCAGTGATAATCTTTAGCAACACCTCACCTGCTACCTTCCACGCAAAGCCACATTTCTTCGCACCTTTGGTTTTTGCATAATCATAGCATACGTGATAGATGGCCAATGCATCAAAATATATCTCCTCCCATGCTCTGGAACTCTTTCCCAAGTCATCTGCTTCGTATAATATCTACACAATCGATATATAAATTGATGAATAGCCCAGGAAAACGTCCACTGGTTAGCTTGCTACTTGTGAATTACCTGTTTATAATTCTGTACAACTTTGTCTGCAGTATATGTCCTTAGTTCTTCATCATCCATGGAGAGGGCTGCACTCATTTCACTTCGATAATTTTTGTAAAGATACTCCCATGTCTTCAAATTATAGTTAGGAACTTCAACATCCAAAATCGGTAGCTTCCAAACTGATTAACAAAAACAAGAAGTGAACATTAAAAAGCCTTACAATCATGCAGGATTTAAACTTTTAAACTTCTCATCTGATAAGAGCATTCCCAACAATGAGCAAAAATTGGTTTCCTCATTCTCTCTCTACCCACTTTCTCTCTCTTTCAACCCATGAGCATTTTTGTGATCATATTTTTATCCCACCAATCCCATTCTCTCTCTAGTACATCTTCTCTATTACTTTTACTAATACCCTCTTATATTTCTCTCTACTATATTATTTTTAATTCTTTTTTTTACTTGCATTGTAGACCCCACATGATTACTATTCATCTTAAAAAATGCTCATCCTATGAGCAATTTTCAATATGCTCATGAGCATTTTTCAATATGCTCATTGATGGGGAACATCTTCTACCATTTTTGCTCATGAGCAAAAAAATGGTCATTGATGGGGATGCTCTAAGAGCCATCAATGGCTTATGTTTACAAATTATATTCATGTTGGCTGCAAACTTACCTATCTAACTAAATCATTTACAGGGACAAGCATTTATGGAGGCGCAGAAAGCATCAAATGAAGAAAACAGGAAAGTCAAATTTATTCGCAAGATATACATGGCGTTGAAGAACACTTACCAGGTATGGACGGATTCTCAAATTCCCATTCCTGTACTTGATCGTAGATGATCCCTAACACAGATTCTGAATGGTAATTAGATGAGGATACCTTCTCCATGTGGTGTGGATATTTTACTGCAACCAACTCACGCAAAACAGTAACCTGAAGGGCAGTATTTGTTTTACCATCCTTGTCAAAACTAGCCAAGTAAAATATTGTAAAGCTGACTGTAAAAATAAGATCTTATGTGAACAAAACAAGATTGTGAAAAACAAAGGAATTTGATGGACTAAAAACTAGATCCTTGACAACAGTGTTCTAGTGCTCATTTTCAAACCATAATGCATAGTCATTTCCTGCAGAAGAAACTTGTTACATTTATGAACAGCGTGAAGCTATGGCAGCATACTCAAAGGAGAAAATGCATATAAGCAAAACAAGAAATTGGTAGACATGGTAGTAATTACATCAAGACAGTAGTTTGGGTGACGGAAACAAACTACTCATTGAACATCCACAAAGTTACCTCTACGCCTGTTTTCGGTGCATCCAGTGCGTCATAGTAAATGTCCACTAATTTTAACAATTTTTCCTTCAAGCACTCTTTCTCCATCGCATAATTGTCTCCTAAGCTTAATAGCTGGTCCATGTGTGCTAGCCAGCTGATAGAAGCAATCCCCATAGCTAGACTGGAAAGCAATTTGCAAGTTAGCAGCTAGAATCATTAAGGCTAATAGAACATTAATAAATTAAGAAACCTATAATTCGTCGACAGGAAAAGGCTGCAAAAAAAACTGATACATCCCATTGGCCCTGCTTCTATCTTGGTCAGATGCCCATAGTACTTATAATTAAAATGTGCATTCACAATTCCTATACACAAGCTGAGGGACTTATCAGACTTTTCTTTAAAGGTTGATTAACTAAGACAATCATAGTGAAACAAAGGAAGTAATTGCAAAGCTCTTAGAGCAGAGGCAATAAGCTTAGGAATGTATACAAAGATCCAAACACAATCCCAACCCTTTGATTGGGGCATACATAATATTTTACCCATTGGTTAGCTCATGCAAGGGAGACAGACTGCATATGACCCTCGTATTTATGATCAAGGCACTATATTTGTTATCACAACAGTGCAATCAGGCTTTAACTAAAAATAATCATATGAAAATGAACACCTTGGTTTAAATCTTGCACCCAAGCAACGAGAAAAAAGCTCATGCTCCAACTCCTCATTAGAATACTCCGCTGGTTTCTTCTGGTCAGAACTTGATGCTTGGTTCATGCATGTCCAGGGTTCACTTGGTTTGAAATATTTTAGAAGCTACAAGGGAACAACCATTTGTTTAATCTTGACTCACCACATCCCAAAAATAATGCTGTTGAAGGATAACTTTCAGCTGTAATAAGGAGTTAAAAAAAAAAAAAAAAAAAGAAAAAGAGAGGAGGCAATTCATTGACCCTGTCCATTCCCCATTCCTCAGCACATATAGGTTTTAATCACACATGTTACAGAGTCTTCTCATGCAACCTATAAATCAGTTTTGATACATTTTATCTAAAGTAGGTGGTTAGCATTTTAGTGACCCGTAAACTTGTAGAATAACCAGCTCATCATCAATTCACCTGGTCTTTGCTTATCAAAACTTATTAAAACTAATCCAAATTTATCTGTACTTATTGGAAGTTTGGAACTTATCAGTCCTCAAATTAGTCTTAATTTAAGCTTGGGTAGTCCGTAGTCCTTATTCAAACTTATGTTCTAGCGAGGTTAGTTTTAGGATACAATGTCTGATCTAAGACTCTGAGTAGTCCTTATTTAGTCGTGAATCAGGCTTTGGGTATTCCTTAGTCCTTAAGGCTTGTTCCAGAAGATTTTAGCTAACCTTCAGCCGTGAGCATAACTGATGGCAGATTTATCTATAGATCTCTATGTTTCCATGATAATTGGATAGCATTTCAAAGATCTTGTCCTTAAGGAGGCCTGCACCCTTGTCTAGGGAAAGTCACTTGATAATTTTTTAGTGCAGATTGAAATAACACGTGAACATATTTCTATCTGCCATCTCACTAAGAAGAACTGAAAAGTGTAAAGCAATTAAGAGATAAACAAGAAGCAAGAAACTGTAAATATGTAATTGCTTACATCAAGATTCCGTGATATCCAATACATGTCTCCATCAAGATCACCACCAGCCATTGCATCAGGCAGTGACCTTGAACCTTTGGTGGGAAAAAATATGCCATACTTTGAATTTCCCACTATCTCTTCCAACCCTTCTATATGTTTTGCAGTGAGAATATGGATATCTCCAAAATGAATTCCTGGATTACGATAAACCAGGACCTTGCCAGAAATTTGTCCATTTTCACTACAAGAGAGTTGTATCATAATATATTAGTTACTGAAAGAATATTCTGAAACTATCATTAGCCGGCTACAAAATCGTGCAAAATGAAACATCTCAATTAACATCCATTTTAGCTCCAGATATAAGGTTTACTCTAAAATGCACATCATGAACAAGGTTGGTTAATGGGATAGACCTATATTGCTTACCTGCTTTCCACAAATTAGACAATAACTTGATATCATGTAAAACAAGTTCAAGGTATCAGTGATTGTAGAAAGATTTATCTAGTACTATTTTCTTCTACTTCTCTCAACCCCTAGTTAACATCGCACTTTATTCAATTGCTCTCTAATAATAAAGAGGTATCACAGCAACAAAAATGTCAAAGCCTTAATCCCGATTACTGATAGAAGTAAAAGTTTTTAAAAAAAAAAAAATAGAAAAGAACATGAATACTTTTAAGGAATAGAGCTAGTTCGTTAGTTCAATTTGGCAGAGCAACCTTTTGTACCAAACATGAGGCCTTGTTTATTCCAACATATTCCAGTTTCACAGAGGTTCAAGTTGAAAATTCACATGATAGAAAACAACTTACTGAATGATGCAGACTTCTCCACTTCTTAAGGTATCCGTTGGATCAGCTGTCCCCATAAGGTAGAAGCTTTCACTGATGGGAAGCTTTCCTTCTTTCAAGCTTTTATTTTGATGATTTGTAAGGAAACTTAAACGTGTCTGAATGTACGGTTCATGAAGAGGGATCCCGGATAGAATCATTCTAGCAATTGTGAATTCGTCATCCATATCCCCACTTGCAAGAGCAACTACATGAAAAAATCAACCAAATATTAGGTTTACCCAAACAAAGTCGTTTCATATGCATAATTGCATTCTTACTGATTATAATACACAACAATTGCAAGTCGCAATTTAAAGATCCTCATCGCAAAAATCTCAACAAAATCACCTTGCAGAGCTGCTCTTTTGTCAGTCAGTGAAGTTCGAGCATCATGTATTGCATCCTTTAGTATGTTTGTGAAAAACTCTGTTGGTACTCCTCCATAATTTAGTAGGGCAATCAAATATTTTGTCAAGCATGTTTTCTTAGGTCGACCACTGGAAATCAGGAGAAAGAAATTAAACCAAGAAAACATATTACCAGAAAACCCACTCCCTAAGAGGAACACAAACCAGCAATCACAACAAATCTGACAAGAAAGAGCTAAAAGGAAATAAAATGCCAGTATAATCAGAAATGTATATGTCAATTTAGAATCAATGCCAATTCTTGTATATGTCATCACAAATGTTTAGATCATGTAGCCCAAAAGTTTTTTTAAGAGTAACATTTTCAGACAAAACGAAAGGATACAAGAGCTACAAATAGTCAAAGGAATATACAGGTAAACAATGAAAAAAAAAAGGTGGAAATCAAGTTAATTCTAAACTTTAAGCTTCACTCTGCATTAGATTAATCAAAAGCCACAAGGGGCTAACAGTCTCAACACACTTGGGAAATTTACCAAATAGTAATTCTTGTTGTAACAAAATGTACAATTGGACATGTCTAATTGACTTTTACGAGTAAATAGAATTTAGTTAGACACTTATCAAAATATATACTTCCTCCGTTCCACAAATATTGCAACAATTACCATTTAAAAAAGTTTCACAAATATTGCAACATTTCCCTACTTGCACACATTTCTCTCTTTCTCTCTCCTCACCACATCTTTATTCCTCTCTATCTCTCTCTTCTTCTTAGAATCCATGTCCCCTCCCTATGTTGCAATATTAGGGGGAACGGAGGAAGTATAATGTTTCATGCCAAGGCCAAATAGTAATGCTTTATAATTAGCTACAGATAAGACAGTAAATTCAATCCGAAACTTGTTGTACAAGCCAACTAATCTCAATTGTCTCTTTAACTCCATCATTGAACCCATTAATTAAGATCATAAACGCCAGCTAGAGCTGCTGCCACCTCGAAAAAATATCAGATATATTGGGTTAGCTTAAAGAAACATCACCAAGGAGTTAGTGCCATTCTACAAACCTATCGTATATCCCATCATCTCTCATTTTTCCAAATCACATTCATCCCATGATCTGCCAATAACCCTTAACTATATCCTTGTATACTAATTTGGTCCGTACATAAATAATTTTCTTCTTACAATCTTGCCTTGAAGGGAAATATTACCCCACTCAACCCATGTGACGAGGGCCGTTTCATAACCTATCACTCTCTCACACACTCTTTCTTCACAACTCATGTTGTTTGGGCCCCCACTAATACTCTCTCTCTCTCTCTCAATTCAACTTATTATTTTATTTTTATTTACACAATATCTACTGAAAGGCCTACCCTCCCCCACTATTTACACTATATATGCATGCCTAAGCGGCTAAGCCTAAACGGGACAGTTAAATAAAGCAGAAGTAAATTTGAAGTGCATGACTTGTCAATATAAGAAGATATGGGTCACAGCAATGGACTACAATAAGGGACATACGGTCTCAAAACCAAGAGCAACTTATGACATACCATTATGAATCACTTTACAAAAATCCAACAGAGATGCTAAGAACTCATAAGTTAAAATATATGTTGACACACTTCGAGATAAACTCCAAAGCATGTCAAGCCAGTGGCTTTCTAAGAAATAACATTTTTTATTGTCTATAGCACGGACCAGGAATTCTACATACTCTTTCCCAAGTAATAGTCTCTTACAAATGACCATGTGGAACTCATAAGACAAATTTGTAGCATGTAATACACCAAAAGAAGTATTTGTCTGATACTTGTGTAATCCTGTTCAAAATTGGAATACTACTTTAGCGACTTTCTGGAAATCCAATTTTCTTGTCCACATTGGTCAAGACCCTTGATAGCTGGAGTATTATGTTACAGTACATATATTTGATGATCAAATATGTCTCCCAGAGTTTACAACTGAAGAAGTTACTATTGTTTCTGCGTAACATTTTTGGGTGAAAATGAAGGCAGCCAGTAGGTTATTTCAAAACAAATAGAAATATCCACATAGCACACAATGGATTATCAATTTTAATCTTCTCTTATTTTACATGTAATTTGTCATTGAATAGATTATCTAGTTGCAGTTCTTGCAATATTGCAATGTAACTTGTATCCTTGAGCTAAGTTATAATATAAACAATGTAAGATACTTTTAACAGCAAATGCATGTCATGTAAGAGATACCTCATTCCCACAACTTCGAATGAGTTCACAGTCAGAGAATGTCCTCGTTCCGGATCTTTTAGAACTTTTATCATGGATGGTCGAACTTGAATAGTTCTTTGAGGAAGCTATGATAAAACAATGAGAGTTTTGTCAATAGAAGGCCTTTCAGTTAGTTTATTTATAAAATAACACTTTAAAAAAGCACTCTGCAGGAATTCTCAAAGGCAATCCTCTACTATTCACTAATTGACAAATTATGAAGAATACATACAATTACTATGTTACTTGGACTCGGATAAAGTGTCAAATTAGACACAGGTGTCCAAGCATTGGACTCGCCCATTTTCTTGAAAAAAGTTGTGTTTTTAGTTAAAAATGAAGTGTCCAAGTGTCGGTGTCCGAGACACAGACACGTGAGGTAAATGAAAGAGTCTGAGTAACATACAAATACGGTTAAATATATATCACAGCTATTTCAAAGCACAAGACATCATATATTGCAATAAAAGACAGTTTATGGACACAAACAGAACATATTCACTGCATTTTCAATGTTCTACACAACAGATTTTAGTTTTCTCATCGAGGTCTGCAACTTGTAAACTAACAATAACAATAACAATAATAATGATAATAAATAAATAAATAAATAATTTCTTTATACCTTTCGATTAACAAGGACCGTCCCCTTAACAGCATAACCTTTGTAAAATAATCGGAACTGCATCAACAAAGGCTGGAGAAAAGAAGATACCAAATACAACTTATATAAATAAATAGCATGGTTTTAAAAAACATTTTCTGGTGTAAGATTATTAAAGGCAGGTGTACCAGTTCAGCAAATTGTGAAGAAAGCCCATTGAGCTCGAAACTATGTACATCATTTCTCTGGAGAGATAGAATGAGAGAACAAGAATGCAAAACATATCAGGGAAGAATACAGGACTAGCCCGTGAAAAATTGCAAATATTACAGCAATAAATTACATGAGAACCCCCCCCCCCCCAAAAAAAAAAAAAAAAAAGACAGGCTAAACCATTCAAAAACATGCCAGACTGCCAATACCATTCATATTGTATATAGCACCACTTTATAAAATGTCAAGGCATTTAACAAAGTAATAGCACATAACATGAAAATCGCCATGCTTCTTTAGAGTTTCTATTATCTTAGAGAACTTCAAAGAGACAAGATAAACTAATCAACTTAGGACCAGCAACCAACACCTTATGATTTAAGCATCAAAGAAAAGAATAAGAGTAAGCTTTCCATAGAGTTTTTCCCAAGTGCTTGTAATTTTGCAAAAGCCTCATGACTTATAGATCCTTCTATCCTGATAAGTTGATGACAAATAAAGTTTTAAATCAGAATTGAAAAAAAAACAGCCATAAAGCTAACATGTCAGTCTTAGCTTAAACACAACTACATTTTATGCAGTGGTTTTTACATAAGAAATAAACTCCAAGCACTGAAGAGTATGATTTGATAGAAATCCTTTGCCACATAAACTACAGTAAATTTGGACTTAAAAATGACAAAAGAATACCTCAGAGTTATGGTCACTCATCAAGTTAGCCTTACAACTATTCCAAGAAAACCCACAAACTAGATCCGCTGATATGAAGCCAGTTCCATCAGTGTGTATGAGAGCTTTCCCATTTTTATCTTTGACAACAGAACCATCTGCAAGCTGTCCAAAGTGCAGAAGGAAATAAACTAAGCTCGAAAACTAAGTACCAAAGATAGTGTAAAATCTCAATTCACAATAATTTAAGACTAATACTTCACCTGACATGGTATATCGTTGATGACTTCAAGGGTTATATCTAAAGCATCCAAATTAATGGGTAAAGTAACTGTTTTTGAAAGTGCGAGCTCAAATCTACATATACCACATATATCAATACTAAGCATGAAAGTGCTAAAATAAATGAATAAAACAAAAACATCGCTATAAAACAACTTTTAACTTTCGAAGCATTATACCTGGCTGCATACTTGGACAAGCTAGGTAGGGTATCCAGATGCATGAACATTGATCTTACTTCTCTTGGACACATATCCGTGTTTACAAAATAACATTTCACGGATCCAGTTATTCTATCCTTCTGTCCTTTCCCCCCATCTTTGAATGCTAATTAACATCACATACACATGAGGTTCATCATCTTAATCTACAAAAACTGGATAGAAGTGCAGAGATGCACAAGGCGCAAATATGGTACTAGAGTAACCAAATTCCATGTAACATGATCTAAGAAAAAAAGTACAAGCTTTAGGAACTGTCCTATTTGATACTACTATGGGACAATAAGATGGAAGTTTCACATTTGCTATATACTCCACAAATATTCACAAAACATGTAGCAAAACCAACTTCTATTTTATAAATGCAATAAATTGATGCCAAAAGAAAAGGAAACTCGCCAATGAACTTGTACAACTTTCGACCCAAGTGTATTCCTTCTCGTGCAACCTTTTTGATTGCAGCAAATGAAGAACCAGAACCCTTGCTAAACTTTGTTTTTCCCTTTCCCTCTTCAGCAAACTTCACGATCAGTACATTCTCTTCTTTAAAAACCTTTTGAAGAAGATTTGTTCGATTGCTTAAGAAAGGACCCTAAATGGAACAAGAAAAAAAAAACAAGGGGTTGATTAGACTTTATCAAACAGCACAAAAATTGAAAGTGGTTAAAAGTGGCTTCAATGTCTTATCTATATTTCACATTGTAGGTTATTAAAACAATCAATAGTCAAAAGATCCTAGAGTCCCATGGTTGTCAATTAGTGTGTGAACTGAAGATTTGAGAATTGAGAAAGTGAAACAAAACAATGGATTGTAGGCTCCATGGCCTTTAATCTTTGATGCAAATAGAAACAACAGAAATATACCGTGAAAGAAAATAGCAAGTTGTACAGATTTTCAACAGTAGTTAGGAAACTATACCTTGAAACAATAACTTCCGTCAAGATAAACGTGACATTGATAAAAATAATAAGGCCCTGATGATTCCCAGTTACGATACTGCAAAGCAACAATGAAAAACAACTGTAATGCATTATTGATGTACCAGGTTTCACACCTAAAACATCATCAATATCAAAAACTAAGGCAAGCAAACTAACAACTTTACAAGCAATATATAGAACAATTGAAATATGAAAATGATCAAACAGTCAGACACTAACCTTTTTCCTGTCCTTCCTGAGACAATATTGATCACCATATCGATCCCACACCATTTTCTCAAAAGAGCCCATTGTAAGCTTTTCACTTTCAGCTACTAGATTATTAATGTCGCGAACAGAAGCTACATCCTCAAGCTTCCTCCTAAAACAGAATTATAATCAAAAGTAAAGACAGGAAATACTATTAAGGTTCATAACACCATCTATAATTCAAAAAATGAGTGATATATTACCTTCCTATGTAACTTAAAACAAGAAAAGCTCGACGAAAACCCAATTTTTCCAGGGCTACAAATTCACAAGTTGGTTTGTATACCTTAGAGGAGCTAAATACATTCAATTTCATCGATGATAATTTATCTGTAAAAACATTTACCAAAAGATCAAAATCATCAAATCAAAGACTCATTAACAAAATGTAGAGACTTCATTAAGTTTATTTTTCAGCAAAAGGCACCTTACCAGATAAGAAAGACATTACAGACCCATCTCTTCTTAATGTTTTAGCATTACTTCCTGCACATAAACTTCAAATGTCAACTCTCATTACAGCAACCATCACTTCCTAGAATTTAAAAAAAAAAAATACAGAACAACACTCCCTCCGTATACTAAGATTGCCCCGATTTCCTTTACCAATCGCCCACTAAGCTTCACTCACATTATTATACTACCCTTTATGTTATGTTCACCCACATTATAACCAATTTCACAACGAAAAAAGACAAGGCAAGAACCCCAACCCTTGTCAAACTCCAACCAAGTCCTATAACATTTTAGTTCTCCACTACGGCGCAATCATATTGGAACGGAGGGAGTAATAGGCAGAAAAAAAAAATACACATCATTACGAAATTAATAGTCACGTTGATATTGGACTTTAAACAAGTGATGCAACTATGTGACAACTAAACCCAAACCAATTAGAAACAAAAAAAGGTAATTTATACATGCAGCTTAGCAGAAGAAGAACCCGAAGCAGCAATTGAATTCTTCTCTGCAGGAAAAACATAAACAAGCCTCAAATCAAACAAACAAAAAATACCCAAAAAAATTTATTCAAAATAACAACAAAAATTATGAGAAAATAACGAACCTTTAATGCTATAAGAATCAAATTTGGTTGGCATTTTAGAAGAAGTGTTTGAAGTCTTATTATAATAATTTTTTGCCAAATAGACTATGAACCCATCAAAAGATTTAGTAATTTTTGTTTTACGAATATAATTAAGCAACTTAATCGAATCATCTTCCCCCAATGATGCGAGCACTCTTCTTGAATTCAAACCAGGAGATGGTTGTGATTGCTCCTCGCAAAGCACCCTAATTAACTCCTCTACTGATGAAGGAAGCGGGCATTCTTTCAAAAAATCCGCCATTTTTGGATGAAAATTTGAGGAATTTTGGCAGAATTGAGGAAAAATTGAAATGGGTTTTTGATAAATTGAATAAAAATTTGAAATTTAAAATGAAAAACTTGTTAAGGAAGCTTTTTTAGGGGATTGAGGGATGAAGAAGACTAGTAGTAGTAGGAAATAGGAAGTGACATTTTTGCAGAGAGACTTTGATAGTGAGGAAGAGAGTGTGCAGTTTTTTTTATTTATTTTTTTTTTCTTGATTTTTTTTTCCACTGGTTCCCGCCTGTCAGAACGGTAGAAGAAATTAGTTTGATTATTATCAATCGTATTGGACACGATTTGAAGTTTGTTTCAAATTAGGCCTTATTTGGTTTGATGTAAAATGCTTTCATATAAAATGAATTTTTCATTTTTTTCCATTTTTCTTTGTTTGGTTTGTTAAGGAGTGGTAAATAATTTTTTAAGGGTGGAAAATTCCATCCTTAATGATGGAAAACATTTTCCTTTTAAAAACAAGGGAAGCCACATTTTCCTCTCTCCTCCTTACTTCTTTTTTTACTTCCCTCTCATTCATCCTTACATTTCCACTCTTATTTTTTATTTTTCTTGGACTTTTCTTGTATGCAACCAAACAAAGGAAAACTAATTTGCAATTGTGTTTTTCCTTGAAAATATGTTTTCCATGAAAACTAATTTTCCATTGAAAATGTTTTACATTAAACCAAACGGGGCCTTAGTGTGTGACACGGCTGTAACGATTGGTTATTTTGAGAACTCGGATTTGTTTATACTATATGTCTATGTATTACTCCCGGCTTTGGGCAAAAAATGGTGCACATGGGTTGACACATATATCAATGAGGAGAGAGATAGAGAAAGTGCAAGTGAGAAAACATGCCAAAGATAGTATGAGGCAATCTTTTAGGGACACCTTAAAAAGGAAAGTGGAGCAAATAATTAGGGACAGGGGGAGTATCTATATAATGTACTATCACTACTATGTAATGAAGTTTGACGTGTTTTTTGTTGGAAAATTTTGAGTTAACCATTTTACCTACATTTTATTTCACGTGTTCTACCCAATTAGAATAATTTATGTAAATTAAGGATATGAGAGAATCATAAAATTAAGTATTGTAAATTAAGGATATGAGAGATTCATTAAACTACAATCTGTTTTTAGAAATAAAGTAGATTGGGATCACTAAAGTACATTGGATTTGGAAACATCTTTTTTTTTTTTATTGAGACCATTAAAATTTTGGATTGGGACTATTAAAATAAGGGTGATATGACCATATAGGAAACTGGAAAATTAAGAGGATATGACTATATGAGTGATTAAAATAGAAAATGGGTAGATAAACCTCAAATAGATCCTATACTCCTATATATTATGGTACATGCATTTTTATATATTTTTACATAATTATTTTCGTAAAACTAGATCAAAATAACATGTGAATGGTGTAAAATTTAACTAATGCATTTTTTTTTATATTAGAATGATGTATGTAATATATCATTCGATTAGTTACAATCTCTATTTTTATAATTTTATTTTTTTTAAAACGATTTTTACCAATAGATAATTAAATAAAAAGCTATGTTACGTTAAATATGCTGGTTAAAGTAATGCAAATAAAAATAAAGGGAGTATATACTATATAATATACATACCGAGTTAAAGCAAATGGGAAAATAGTGTAAAAAACCAATGGATGTAAAAAAAAAAAAAAAAAAAAAAAAAAACCAACAAAGTAAGAAAGAGAGTGTTTGTATTGAAGGTCAGTAAGTGGATATAATATAAGAAAAAAATGTAGATAAAGTACGAGAAAGTAAATGAAAACAAGTAAATAATAAGTTAGTAAAAAAAGACTGCAAAAAATAAAATAAAAAAATAGTGGATATGTTAAGCTCATACACGTCACAGCAACAAATTATATTGTGAGTACTGAGTAGAATACTTGTTGAAAGCCAAACTCATTAGCTTAAGTTGATAATTTTAGTTAGTAAATACATTACCATAACTTAGAAAAATAACAACATTGCTTGATAAAAAACTTAAAGAGTACTTATACTAGCTGAAGTTTGAGAGCCCGATAATAACCCTAGCTCGAAACATACCTATCAACAAAAGGCCAGTTGAAGAAAAAACCGGGGCTGCAAGCAGCAAAAGATAATAGAGCTAAGTTAAGCCTAAATTAAGCATGAGCTGTGTGATGCAACTAAGGAGACTAACAGATCATGCCCAAAAGACCTCGCACCATAAGTAGCGTTGGCATCCTTGACCTTCCGTCTAAACCTACTTACAATACTTTACAATGAGTAGCAATGCATTCGATAATACTAGCTCATCATCTGGCGAATAACTGAAGGAGCAAACAGCAATGGCTTTTCTTCTTTATCCTGCAAATGTATCTTCCACAAGGCATCTCCAGCAACTTTCCAAGCAAATCCACATTTTTTTGGGTCTTCTTTAATTATTGCATAGTCATAGCAGACATTATATATTGCCAAAGCCTCAATTCGAATCTCTTCCCACTCTTTTTCACTTGACTCCAAATCATCAACACCGCCATATAGTACCTAGAAACGATTAAAATTATCATGCAGTAGAACATACGTGGCCTGAAAGAGAAAATATATGCACAATTTATAAAATATGTGTTGACAAATTACCTTTCGGTAATGCTGATAAACTGCAGCTGTGTTTCCACATTCATTCAGAGCCCTCTGCATATCAGATCTGTAACTTGAGTAATGATCAGTCCAAAATCTTCGGTGAATGTCCGGAATTTCAAGTCGAAGCATTTCAGTTTTCAAACTGGCAAAAAAAATATATAACAAACCCATTACAGTTACTACCAGGCACCAGTGATCAACAGTAACACTATTTCCTTATTCATGAGAAATGACTTTCAAATCAAGGACTGGAGAATTAATAAACATACACCACAGTTGGTTTGTCACTTCTTAAAGATGAATAGCAAGAGTCAGATAAAACCAAGGTTCGAGATCAGCCCCCTCAGCCCCCTTTTTCGGATACAAGTTTTACCACTACAGCAGTGCTGCTAATGTTTATAAAGTTCAGTATAACAAAGACGTTTAGGCATTATAGTAAACCCAAAATACTAGAAGCTTGTAGGCATATAAATGGGAGTACAACTAAACAATAGCAGTAAATTAGTATAAAGCTCACGGAAATACTATTTGCGCCATCAAATCAACTATTTTCCTCTATATTTTATATTACATGAGCATTGCTTCGTAAGGTGCACTGTTACTTTGTATGGAGACTTAAATGCAGATTGAGGGATCTGTATATCTGTTCTCTACTGGAAAAAACAACTTAGATCCATCCAATTGTTGTGTAACCAAAAAATATGATAAGCAAATGAATTGCAATGCATTTTCAATAAATTGCCATAGGGTGCAGAAGAGAAGCTACAAACAGAGGCTCACTTGTAATTGGAGTAGTGAATTGATCAACTATGTCATAAATTTCACCCAAAACAGACTTGGATTTATAAGTGCAATGCTCTCCTCTTCCCATATAATGAGGATATTTTTCCGGTATCAGCCGTTCAGGAACCACAACCTGCAGACTAGATCGTTAAACTTGCAAGCAAAGCTGATGTCAGAGCCCCCCAACAAAAAGAAAAAGAAAAAAAAAAAAAAAAACCCACTTGACCAGAACTACACTGAAACCAGTACCCTTATATTTGAAGGTATTATCTACAGACAATTTAACCCTTTAACTTCAAGTAGGTTCATATTGCAATACCCACAAGAAGCACCACTACATAGCTGCCCTCCAATAGAGTCACAAATCGACAAATAAAACAGATAGAAGCAATTAGGGTGCATAATATTTACAGAAAAGCAAACAGGTTATCTCATAGATCAATATACCCTCTAAAGTCAAGAATTCAAGATTGGATCAGAAGAATTCATCAAAGATCAGGTGACTAAACAATCTTTATTACTTCCAGGTCCACATGAAAGTTTAGCACAAATCCACCAAACTATAATACCAATCAACTTCATTAGTCAAGATATTAACTCATTCAATCTTCATCATTGGAAAGTCAGAAATATTTTGCACTCTTATGTAATTCGAAGTCTATCTTCTTACCATGAAAACAATGCTTACTATATGGTTGAAACAGCAAGACTATCTCTTACGGGACCATGAAGAGATACGAAAACAAGGCAAAATAAAAGCAACGGGAATTCAGGAACCTATGAACTAACTAAACAGCCAAACGCAAGTTAAGGTATAGGACAATGCAGCTGCCTTCAGCATTTAATTATTGACTCTCCAAACAAACACATCTATTAGCCTGTAAAAGTCCATTTCCACAGTACAAGGAAGTAGAAAGAATATTCAGACAATGTTTCACATAAATATAATATAAGTAAGCAGAAGTCGAAGAGCAAGCATGTAAAAATTGTAAACTGAAATTAGTTTCAGAAAGCAAAAAATTAACATCTTGGATGTTTAAAACTTAAACAATAGTAATGCCCCCAAAAACCTGAATCAAATGCTGAGAGAACTGACCTTTTTCCCCTTTTTCGGCGCGTCCAGTGCATCATAGTATATGTCAATTAATTCATTCATTTTTCTCCTTAAAAAAGATTTCTCATCTGCGCAGTCATCTCCTAGTGTCAACACTCGATCCATATACACTACCCAACTATCTGCTGCTGTACCCATTGCCTTACTGAAACAGGATTGTTCTTCATTAGGAGACCCATAAGTGCGTGCCAATGTGCCATACAAAAGGGGACCCATATGTATGTGCCAAACTAAAAGCCATACTTAAGGCTTCAGCTCAAAAAAAAAAAAAAAAAAAAAAAAAATGCAGAAAATGGTGGATAGTCACTTTATTCGGTCATGTCCAAGCCGAAAGACTTCTCTAACCTTCGTAATAAGAAAAGTCCTTTTTATTTTATTTTTTTGAAAATGCAAGGATCAAACGCAAAAGTGTCAGAAAATGAAAAGTGAATCTAACAGTTAAAGTACAATGTACAGACCTCGGCTGGAACCTAGCAGTCAAGTATAAACGGAACAGTTTTTGCTCTAATGCCTCACCAGAAGGCAGACTTGCTACATTGTTGACATTTGGGGAAGAAGTTGCACATTTCCAAGGCTCACTTGGTCTGAAATGCTGTAAAAGCTGAAAAGATGAAAAGGAGTGGATGAATAGCCTATATGACCATTACAAACAAGAAGAAGATAAAAAGATGTATGCCCAGTCATTATTATTACAAATCACAAACCCAAAGAACACAATGCAGAAGGACGAAAGGATATTGTAGCCATTTGTAAATCACTTTCACTAATTCACTGTATACGAAATATTATAAACAAAGACGGACAAAAACTTATCCTAGCAATGTCCATAATATTAATTATGAGGCAATTTCCCCCAAAAGAATTGTTGGTATCATAACAGAAACTAATATATATAAATAAAGTAGGCATTTTTGGAGAGAATTTGGCGCGCCACATAAGAAAGGGTATTATTTTGACCTATGAAAAAT